CCCAGGGGGACAGCTTGAGGCTCTGTCTCAAAAAAAAAAAAAAAAAGAAATTCCCTATTCCCTGCAACCTTATTTACTCATTTAGAGAGCCGGGGGTGGGGGTGGGGGTGGGGGTCATGTTCCTCTAGGCAGGATTGTCGTGTCTATTGGCAGGTATAGTCACAGCACACCATAGCCTGGGCTCAAGCAATCCTCCCACCTCAGCCTCATGTCATGAATCCGTGTCATAAATGATACAGATGTAGAATTGTTATTCGTAAATTTGAAAAGGAAAATCTCTAGGTGGTGCCCGTTGCTCAGTGGGTAGGGTGCCAGCCACATATACTGACAGGATTAGAATCCAGCCTGGGCCAGCTAAAACAATGACAACTGCAACCAAAAGATAGCCAGACCAACGTTGTGGTGGAGGTCTGTAGTTCCAGATACTTGGGAGGCTGAGGGAAAGAGAATTGCTTAAGCTCAATAGTTTGAGCTTGCTGTGAGCTGTGATGCCATGGCACTCTCTCTACACAGGGAGATAGCTTGAGACTACCTCAAAAAAAAAAAAAAATTAAGAAAGAAAACTTCTAGACCACTCATATTGAACATAAATATGGAAATTTCAAATATCAAAAATTAGGATATTTTCTGTTGAAAAGAAAAAGAATCATTAAAAAAGGGGGGGTGGGCAGCTCCTGTGGCTCAATGGCACTCTACCCAGGGCAACAGAGTGAGACTCTGTCTCAAAAAACAGGCGGCACTTGTGGCTCAGTGAGTAAGACGCTGGCCCCACTGAGGGTGGCAGGTTCAAACCTGGCCCCAGGCAAACTGCAACAAAAAAAGAGCCGGGCATTATGGCAGGGGACTGTAGTCCCAGCTACTTACTGTAGAGGCAAGAGAATCACCTACGTCCAAGAGTTAGAGGTTGCTGTGAGCTGTGACACCCCAGTACTCCACTGAGGATGAAAAAATGAGACTGTCTCTTAAAAAAAAAAAAAAAAAGGAAAAAGGAAAGAAAAAAAGAAACAGTATCTCACTTTGGAGCAGCTCACATCAACCTCAAACTCTATGGCTCAAACCATTCTCTTGCCTCAGTCTCCCAAGTAGTTGGGACTAGAGACGAGGTCTCTCTTGTGGCTCAGGCTGGTCTCGAACCTGGGAGTTCAGGCAATCCACCCACATCGGCCTCCTAGGATCATAGGCATGAGCCACTGTGCCTAACCCTGAATTCATTTCTTGATCAGAGTACAGGTTACATAGGTACATTCAGTTTGCAAACACTCATCAAAATATACAATAGTTATGTGCATATATTTTTGTGGATGTACATTAAATTTCATAAAAACTTTCTTTATATAGGGTCTCACTGTTGCCTGGGCTGGAGTGAAGTGGTGTCACTATAGCTCACAACTTGAACATTCCTTCCCTATCCTCCCAAAATGCTACGTTTATAAGCCTCAACTGCTGTGCCCATTATCCATCAGAAATTTAAAAAATAAAAATTTTTGGCTCAGCGCCTATAGCTCA